TATTAAGTGGAACAATTAATAATCAAACTTTTGGGAAAAAAAACAGGTACCTCCTTGTTAATGCACATAAATATCCTTTATAACCTATAGGTGTGCAATAGGATATCTCTGAAGAAATGATTCCTGTTAAAATATAATCATACACTGGTTAAAGGTAGTTCCATAATCCACAAAAGCTTCCTCTCTTAGAGAAGTTCTGGGATCTTCCCACTTTGGTTTTGACTAAGTAACTACAGTAAACCTGCTGTCTGAAAAGGGTGACAATCTGAAAGTTAGTTCTATTCGAGTGATGCCGTCGCAATCTTACCATTTCCTAATGTTCTCACATCTACATCTTCTCTTCCAGAGGATGAAAAATTAAAACCTTTGGAAAACAGAAAAAGAAAAAAATCAGAGGCATAAGAGTCCCATGACTTTTGTTCTCACCCTTTGGTAGAAACTCAATTCATCTTGTATAATTTACAGGAGAATCTCAAAGGGTAGTCATCATCCCAAATCTAGTCCCAATCTCTCCTAAAAATAGCAATGATAATAATAAACACCACTTATTGAGCACTTATTATATGTTAGGCGCTGAGCTAAAAATTTTGCGTACATTATTTCATTTGATTCTTATTACAACCTTATGAGGTAGGTATTAAATAAAAGAACACCAAGCTTCTGAAAGGTTAAATGCTTTTCCCAAGGTCACATGATTAGATGGCAGAAATAGGTGTTTCTAATGTCAAAGCCAGGCCTTAAACTATCATCCCATGCTGCCATCCCATGGCAGGCCCCACCACCACCCTGGTCACAAGCTTATGGTGAAAAATCTATCACCTACTTCCTTCTTTTTATTAAAACAGAACAAAAACATTTATTTGAGAATTAAATTCTATGAAAGAAAGAGGAAGGGAAAAAAAACATTCGATTCTAAAAGCAAATTCATTACATAAGTAAACCTAAGCTGGAACCATGACAAAACTAGTGTTCATTCTAAGACAGATGGCTCACCACAGACTAAAAGCTGCAAATGTTGGAATGGGAAATGATTTTTAAAAAGCGGGGGGAGGGTGTTGTTACATGACAACTTTCTTAGATACAGAATGACTGATGATTTTACCACAGCCAACATTACCATGAGCAGACATTATTCTAAATGCTTTGTATATGTTAACACTATGAGGTAGGTACTATCATTATCTCCATTTTACTTGTAAGGAAGGTGAGACAGAGACAGGACAAGTAACTTGTCTAAAATCACATCATTAGTAAATGGTATGGTCACGATTCGAACCACACAGGCTGGCTCCAGAGTTTCTTAACAACCATCTATACTGTACCACCATAGAGAGAGGCAAAAATGCTCAGACTCGTGCCCACAGGGAAAGCAAGATGAGTCTTCTTGGACCAAAGATTGGGAAAGGTTGGGATGTTTTGGGAAACCTGGTCAGTCATAAGAGTGGTAAAGATTAAAGTCTCTGAACATAAAGGTTGAAGGATAGCACTCAGGCTCACACCCTGATGTATTCATTTAGGAACAAATATCTACGGGATGTACCTGCAAGGCACTGTGCTGGATGCTGGGGAGACGAAGGCAAACAAGATGGACATAGTCTTTATCCTCACAGAGCTCACTGTTTATAGAGAGATATGGACTACAGTTGGTAGGGCTAGGAAACGTACAGGAACATTCCTGCACTTAGAGCACAATTGCAACATGAGCTCTGAGGCCAATATTTATTCCTCAATAATCAAAAACTTTGGAGAGCACAATATGAGAAAGAATAAGACCACTGGATAGAACAGATGAGAAAGGTAGAAGGAGGGTAAATACCATTTTGACCGCCATATCTCTCCCAGGAAAGATTTATATGCAAAGTTTCCATGTAGATTTCAGGAAAAGGACCGCTAAAAGGCTTTAAAAGTCCCATGAAAATTACACTAAAGATTAGCCCTCCTTTCTAGGATGTTTAGCTGTGAAGAAAGTAGGATTTCACCCTTCCTTCACCTTTAAGAGATTCCATTAGCAAGCCAAGGCCAAACCTTGTTGTAAACATAGGCTCTGAGCTGTTGTGTGTCACATACTGCCACGGTGAAGCAGGCTCCTCTCTGCCCTACAAGGCCCAAAGTTGTGGGTCTCACAGAGAGAAACAATCCAGGGCTGGTTAGGTAAGTACTAGATATCCTATGTCTAGAATTCAAGCTGCTAGTTAGGCTCATAAGTCTGAGTAATCTGTGTTATATTTTACCTGAGGACTGGCCAAATGGGCAGCAGTGAGGGGCACAAGGTCAGGCTCTTCTCCAGGTGAAGAATCTAGGCCAGATAGGGAGTAGGATTCTGTGGACCATTAAGTCCTAATGAACACTCCATTCAATATTTATACTCCATTGTCAAGCTGCTAATAAACCCACAGCAACATTAGTAGCTTCCAGTCAGAGTCAACAGACTCAGACTCAAGAGTAGCACTAACTAGGGATGGAGAGCTAAATGGAGAGTTCAAAATGGCATCTGGGAAGCTGAAAAATACTGATTCTCTGGGGCTATGGTTTGTCTTATACTTGCCCACCTCCATCTCCAAACCAGCCATAATGTCAAGGAACCAGGATACCCACAGTGACTGAACCATAACCTGCGACAGGTGGGACTGAAGGGAATAAACGGGACACAGAGATAAGTCTACCAGGGACTGCTAAATCAGAACAGAAAACCCAAATTCATAAATTAGCGCATAAAACATCCCCAAAATACCAGCCCAACAAGAAAGAGGTGCAGAAAGCCAAGCTCTTGAGAAATCCAGAGAAACATTATAGCCAATCTAGACAAAGGGAGAAGGAGTATTTACTATATCTTTTAGAAAAATATTTCAGATTTGGACCCTACATTGAGAAATACTTTTGGGAGCAAACTTTAAAATTTTGTTCATATGCAATTATGAATAACAGCTGACAAAAAAAAAAAAAGAGAGAGAGAGAGAAACAGAGCCACTGCTTTAACTATTAGAAACTACATATTTAAAACTTAGTTGAATTTTCTAAATCCCATGAGTTCTTTGAGCCTTCTGATCCAAGGAACACATATACCAACAACAAATATAAAACCAAGGGTAAGAATGATCAGGAACTATAAAAGTGGTTCAGCTAGGCTACAGTGGCCCTCACTCGCAGGGGCAGACAGACAATGGGACTGAAAGATGGGCAGAGGCCAGATGAAGGCCTTACCATATCAAGTTAAGTAGCTTGGATTTTATCCTGTAACTAGTCATTGACCATTTTTCTACAGGGAATTGACGTGGCAAATATTTATTTAATGAGTGAAGTAATAAATGTATTAGGGGAAAATTTCTTAGACACATTGATTTTGAGAGCACGTCAAACTTTATTACTCATTAACTAGGGAATTAGGAAGTACATAATATGATGTGCAAGTCTGAAGTGACTGAGAAACAAGTTTGTATCTCCCATTTAGAGGAAAGAATCTTTATATAAGTAGCTAGGCTGCTTCATGCAATACTGGTTTATTTTCAGAGAGCTGTAAAACTTGGAGGTACAATAGTCAGAATCATCTCCCTAGAGTTGTCAGATGTGAACCACAGAAATAACAAGTAATACATCCAAGAACCACAGGTTTAGCAAATTGGTGCTATTAATCAAATATTTCAAATAACAAGGGATTATGCCCTGACAAGAAGTCAATGAGCACAGAGACCCAGAGGTCTGCTTTTTCTCAAGCAGCTCTCAATAAATTTCTTCAGCACACAACTATAGACGCTAAATACAGTTTTATTTATTTTTAGTTTGGGGGCAATTTTTCCCCCTCATATGGAAAATAACAACAAACTACCTTCATGAAAGATTGCAAAAGGGAAACATATAGCTGATTCAGAGCCCCCCAGCAGCCCTATTTATGATGGGGGCTTCATTGGGACCCAAATAATCAGAATTGAATGTTTCTTGAATCTTCTTATAGAAAGGAGTAAGGTGGCCCCAAAAAGAGTTTGAAAGAGACTTTTTGGTGCCAAAGTTTTATTTTCACTTCTTCGTAACTTGGATAAGTCTTATAAGATAACCAGTGCATAAATATTAGATTAGGTAGGTAAAAGCTCATGGCAATATCCCATTCTTTAAACCTAAGATTTTGGAAAATATTAGGTTGCTAGCTAAGGTACAGTCTTCTTCACTCAGTAAACAATTCTTAAAGACCCTTAAAAAGAAGGCCGACCTTGATAGGCAACATGCCAGGATACCCCAGGACACCTACCCACACGAAGAGCCAAAAAATAGTTCCTGTGACATTATTCCTTCCTCCATTTAGTCCCTCTTGGAAATCCACTGCCAATCTTGGAAACTTCGACAATATTATAAGCATTGTTTGGTTTTTGTGTAAGACTCTTGCTACAGTGGATAGCTCTGATTGGTGAGTCAACTGTCTGTGGCTACCAGTTACATCAAGATTGTAACAGCATTTTTACTTTCTGTACAACAATAAAAGATTTATACATAAAATCTTAACATCAAAAAGAAAAGAAAAAAAGAAGTGCTTCTCTTTCCTCTTGACAAGCCAGAGAGCTGAAAGGGACAGCCATATCTCATCTCAGTCATCTGCTTGCCATTCCTAAAGCAGACTTGTCTTAAGGGTTTTCAGAGAGAAGCATGGATGTCTCACTTGGTTCCTTAAAAAAGGTGTCCTAATTATGTTAGAAGATCCACATCAAGAGTTATTTATGGGATGGCTCCATAGTGTAGTGGTTAGCACTTCTGCTTTACATGCAGAAGGTCCTGGGTTCGTGCCCCAGGTAGAGCCACGGACCATACCCCGGGTGCGCCAAGGCCACGGGTGCACTCTGTGGGTGCATGGGGGGAGACGCCCCGCCTTCAGAGATCCACTTCCACAGGTCAGAGGTGGAAGTAGCAGGGAGGGGGAATTAAAAGAGGGGGAAAAAAAGAGTTATTTACATACTCACTACAGTTTTTCCTAACATACAACATGATTTCCTACAATTGAAATCTAAGCCCTTTCCTCTAGTCTAATTCTAGGTGAAATCACATGCCTTTTATGCTGTTTTTGACCTTACAGGCCTATTGAGACAAAGAAAACATAAACCTGACAGGCTCTGACTCATCTTACAAACCTGGGCTCATTAATAAGTAGGAAATTAAAACACACACAACTCCCATTAAGTCTTTGTGAAATGGTAGCTATTGGTCTATTTTTCTCTAGGCTTCAAATTTCTCCCAGGACATTTTAGTGGTTACAATAAAAGCCAAGCATTTGCCAAAGATTATTCTTGAACAGGCATTGCATGTGGAAGTTGTATTTTGATTCCCTCATATTCACCAAAAGAGGTCAAGGCTGAGGTGTCCCAAGGTCAGAGCTTAAGTGCATTCATTTAAAGCAGTTTTGATTGTTCTGAATTTGCCCGGAAAAGAGGAATCATCTTGAAAGAGAAAAGAAATCCTTGGGCACCTTGGCTCAAATTCAGCCCATGTCAGAGGAGCTCAAGACATGGCAATTCTTGCTCGTGGGAAGCTGCCAAGCAAGGAGCCCAGACTTGGTGGTTATTTACAAAATACAGAAATTGTTCCTGCCACCTCCAATAGATGTATTCATGAATGACAATGTATTTAAAATATGAATATTATAACACTTACTCTCCGCTTTAAATACTGTCAAAAGATGACCTGAAATTAATTCTCCCACTGAAGACTCCAGCTTCCTTTCTCCATCAATTATCCAAGGAGTTTGTGGTAGATTCCTGGAGTATTTATTATATCTCCCTGTGAAAGAAATATAAGGCAGCTAGGATGAAATTATCTGATTAATAGGATAAAAAGAAAAGCAACAACTATTTATTGAGTGCTAATATCCTAGGTCCTACGATATAAACAAAGCTTAGCTTTCAATTAACTTACAGTCTAATTTGGGGAGCCGGCAGAAAGGCAGATAGTTAATTAAATGAAAATATTTAAGGTAACAAAAGAAGAGATGGCTAAAGACATGGCATGAATCATTAAATGAGTTATAAAGGAATGTTCAACGTATTTATTAATCTGATTGGCTGACTGAACAAATTATAATATTATAGAACACACCAAGGATCATTTTTTTTTTTTTTAAAGAGCAACTACTGCTTTTAAACCTGATTAGTAGTAGTTTCAATGTAATAGTCATTGGTGATGATATATTTCAAAGAGTTCAAATACAGGGAATTTTGAAGTTTTTGTAATTAAAAAGAAAAAGCCTTAACACAATATGACTCATTGCTTTATGAATAAAGCTACCTGAAGGCAGGTAGCTTTCATTACTCAGGGCAGGGTATTATAAACAAGACAAAAGATCAATTTCATTTCAGCTATTACTATAAAATAACTGTTGCTTTTAAAACAAAAACTGTCTTCTAGATTACCTCTTGGGAAAGTCATTGGAACATTTTTTTTTTTTTTTTTCAGGCAGAAGCCAAGTGTTTAGTCATTTTGCAGATAATAAAGTTATTTTTCAAGTTTGCTTTCACGTTATAAAAAAAAATTCTCTCCGCGGCTATGTTTCTCCTAAACAGTTATGGGTCTCTACATCTACCCATATTTCCACTTGGCCATCTCTGATGAAAACTACTTAAACCTAGGAAAGGTCATTTGCCTTTGGCATGGCATTTTAAATAATAGGTCTCCTCAGTGAACTTAAGAATGCCTATGGAACCTAAAATAAGCTTGGCTATCAGTTTTAGTTCTCAAAAGAGTTAACTAATCACAACCTAATAACAATAGTAAGAAGGAAACAGAGGAGGAGTCAGTTTAGTTTTTCAGAAAGGACAGTAAGTTGACAGTATAAGTATATTCTAGACTAAATATTTTACCAGCCACAAAAACAGCCCCATGAGCACATTCAATTTCAAGAACAGTGCATACAGCCTTTGGTGAATTTGGAGGACAAGGAAACTGCCTGCAAAACAAAATAAATTTTATAGCTACCATTTTCCAGACATGATATTGAACCACATAACTACAACGGTCAGTATCGTCAGAGACACACGCAGAGCCTGAGTCTCTCAAGGACTAAGCATCTCTCTAACTTTAAGTTTCAGAACCATAAGGGTCTTTAGGGCTCTAGAGTATCTTTTTAATACACAAGAGTGGCACTGAGTAAATCAGTACTCTGCTACTACCTTTCATGCTCAGGAGATCTCATGTTCCCAGATAATCATTTCCAACAGCCTTGAGATTTAGGACAAAAATTCATCTATCTGAAATGGAAGCCTTTCCATTTAGCCATTTTGCTATCCATGATCACTTGCTGCTGGCTTACAAAAATCCTCAATCATTTGGGTAAAGCTGGTATGCAGTGAAATTGGACACGTAAATTTCACCCGTGGGGAGGGCACTACTCTATTTTGCTTTTTTCCCCCCATTTCATTCAATCTATGACCCTGGGAATCAGACCACAGAGCCAGAAAAAGTGGAATGTGGCAGACTCTGCCCTTTTAGCTAAGAAACTTCACCTGAGGACAGACAGGAAGGAGCAATGTATAGCTTTATTCTCCGTCCACCATCCAGAAACCGCCAAAACTATGGATGGGAGTATATCTGTAAATGACTAGATGTGAACTTAATCCAAAATGCTTGGCTTAAAATTTTTATAGTTTTCCAAGATATCTCAACAAAGAAATCACTTAGGAACTCAGGAACTATTGTTCGTGGAGAGTAACTGTCTTTACTTTCTAAAATTTAATAAAAATATTTCCATTCTGAGACTCATTTTCAGTCAGTAGAATATATGAAAACTTCCTCATAATTTTATTGTTTGAAATTTATTCAAGGATATTTTAGGATAAGTACGATATTTTATCAAATAAAACAAACACACTGAAAATTAAAACATAAAGCTTATTGTATTTCAGCATATCTTAACAAGTGAGGATAACTCCTGAGCCTTTTTCTCCCTCTTGTGGAGATGGATAATACTACAATGAATTAGGGATGTAATGGGACTATCACTGGGCTAGAGAGTCAGGAAAACTGGTTCTAAATTCACTTCTATTTCCAGTTGAAATCTTAAGCAAGTCAATTCCTTCTTTGAACCTCAATATCCTCTTCTATAAGAAAGAAATTGGACTCGATTCATAAATTCAAATATTAACTTGACAAACATTTATTGAACTCACTGCATGCCAGATACTGAGCCAGGAATTGGAGATATAATGATGATGAAGGCAGAATCCTGGGCCCTGAAATACATCTTGTTTTGTCTTAGAGATAATGCAGATTATTGCTAACATTCCCTTTATTCTAAAATTCCATGCTGCTTCTTTATTTCTATACTTTTACTTACCTGCAGAAATCCTCTTCTTTTATCTTATTCAAAGCTTTCATAACTGCCATTCTAGTGAATACTGACTATATAGGGTAAAATGAAAAGAAAAGACATTTATCACCAGGATAAGAAAACATCAGAAGTGAAAAATAGAACATATTTGGAGAAATTATCCATTTTAAATCATACTTAAAAGGGAGACATACTTAATAGTTTTAAGAAAATAAATAAAATGTAAGAAATCATAGTGTCAGTTCTGCAATTGGTACGCCCCTACTTACTCCCTTCCCTTCAGTCTAGTCTACATCCATAATACCAGGTAGACCTAGTAGAACAAGTCTTCTTTACTTCATGGCCCACTCCCTCAAAATGGAGCATTCTTCAAACACAAAAACAATGACAGTATAAGAAATGTGCTTTGAATATTTTTTTCCCAGACCTCAAAAGGAATTTACATTGATTCATCTACTTTTTCTTCCCTACATCCCTTCAGGGGCCACAGTATATAATTTGGGAGTTGGCTGCCAGGGTAAGGGGTAAAACAGAGCCAATCAGCCTGCCCTGGCATCTAGCAACTCAACATCACTCACCAGCCACAAAGTAAACAGATCCACTATACTGAATAAAAGAGCATCTACAACAAATGTCCCACTTTGGGGTTTTAAAATAATAAAAGTCAAACTGCGTGGTAGACATACTAGAACTAACTGGTGCACATATACATGGCTTACTATGATAAATCACAATTATTTCTTCTGTTATAAGAAATTACACTTGACTGAAAAAGGACACAATGTTGGCATCTCAATAGTTTATCATCAAAGCAATGATTTTTCTAAACCATATTCTGGGGAATCCCAAGGTATTACAGAGTTAGAACTAAAAATTAAGTGCCTGTTTAAGATATGAAATCTTAGGACTGAAAGAATCTCAAAAGGTCATTCAATTTACTCCCAACTATAAGGCAGGAAAACTACAGTTAATATAAGCTACTGGCCAGATGGTGTAGTTAGTGTCTATGATACTTTGATGAAAATTCCCTTATCCTATTATTTCATGCTGGTATTGGTATATTTACTCAGAGATAACAAAAAATAAAACTAGATCTTCAATATAAATATGGCTTACAGGTCACTAGGGTAGAGTTTTCTAACTGAAATGGCAAAGCAGTGAGCTATAGTTGTGCCAAGATATCAATCTCTTTAGTTCACAAGGCCTGAGGAGCAGGGCCTGGGACAGTGGCAACTTCCAGGCCTAGTGCTTCCAACTTAGAGCAACTTTATCTGTTAACCTCAGGGTGCTGAACGAACACGGCAATGTTCTAGGCGTACCATGATGTGAGAAAAGGAGGGAAGCACTGCTTTAGTCTTGGTCTGCATTTCTAATTATTTCTGCACAGGGCATTTAGGAAATGTCACAAACTTCCAACCCCCACCAGTTCTAAAAGGCACAGCAATTAGTCAAAGCAAGAGGAAAGATCAAATGAAGTACCTTTTTAACAACCAGAACAGTAAAAAATGATGTCAGGAAAACTAGGAATGCCTGAGTCTCTGCACAAAACCAGCTAAGTAACTGGGGCATGAAAGCTTGCCAATATTGTGCCATGCCATTCTATCTTGGCAGAATTGAAACTAAAAGTACTAATTAATTTGCTCATTAATATGAAGACCAGATCACATCAGACAGTAAAGGAGAATTTGAATAAAATGCTCTTTTTTACAAATATATCTTGAAATAAGCTTTATTAATTCAGGAATATCTTAAATAAACTACTTTACTTAAGATTATATTTTTAAAATACCAGTTACTAGAAAAGGAGTATTAGACAAAAACTTGGAATGCTGCTATCATGAATTTTCCTAGATGATGTAATTTTGGGAATTAAAATCTAAAAGTCAAATTTCCCCAAATTGGTAACAGAAACATCATTAATGCACTGGTTCTAAATTCAACATCAGAACAACCCAGACAGTGACACGAAAACATGAGCATGTTTTTGTGTTATGGTTTCCCAGCCAGAGGCAAAGGTGTTCACAGTTGGAAAGATTTAAAAACTGATAAAAGATTTAAAACTGATTCGTAGTATAATAGATTGCCACATTTCTAATGCATACCTTTTTTGTTGTTAATTTGAACATTCAGCTCAAGCAAAACCCACTAAAGAGTAAGAAGCAGGAATCCTTACCTGTTTGTTTTTGGCTGGCTTGAAACAATCTGGGCATATTGCACGTCTAAGTAAAATTCAAGTTAATGTAAAAAGTTAATGAGTTTATTTTGGGGTGGATATAATTCAAATATATTTTATACAACATAGTTGCTAAATGCAGGATATAGAAGCAGACAAAATAAGTCCCTATACAAGCTGCATTGATTTGCCTATCTATCTTACATTAGTACATTTTTTAAGCTACTAAGACAAGTTCTGATATACTTATTAGAAAGAGGAGCAATACTATTTTCATAAAAACCAAAGAGCTTTAACAATGTTACACAATTGACATTGCTGTTTACATGGCAACTTACAAGAAGTGGCAATCCTCAACTGTTTCTGGGTGAGCAAAGACCACACTCACTTCAAACAAGCTCTAAAAATTATAAAGACAGTTTTAAAATGAGTAAAAAGAAAGCAACATCTAACAACTTGTGAATGGAAATAAAAATTAACTCTCAAAGATTGGCTCAGAAAAAGAGTGACAAGGAAAACTGGAAATACTACTATTTTCAAATAAGTTTATTCACAGGACAGCTGTAAAGGAAATAGTCTCTTTTTTTTTAACTTCTAAAGTTCAATCACTAGTGATTCTACCAAAAAACAAGAAATCTTAAAATAAATTTGTAGGATTTTTGTACATGTATATAAATTACATGTATGTAAAGATGAATGAGAATCGGAAAATTGGAAAGAGATAACTGAAGGAAATAAATTGTTCCAGTCAATATCATCATTAGAATAGCAAAGCAAAAAGCATTTTATTCCCATGATTAAAATGTTGTATAAGACTTTTTTTTAGTGCTCAAACTTCTTAATGGATTTGAGTTTTAAAAGAGAAATCTTAATTTTTTGTTTTATTACAAAAACAATACATACGAATTATAAAATAATCAAATACGTGATGGGTTTTCAATCCCACTCCACTGAGGCAGAGCTAGTAACAGTTTGGTATGTTTCTTTTAAGCCAATTTTATGAATGTACACATAAATGTACAGTATATACTTCTTGGGATATTAAACATGCTTATGGATAATTGCTTTATTCAGTTAATATTATGGCATGTACATCTTTTCAATTCTAGGGACTGTTGAACATTTAAGTTATAAGTTTTCTGTTATTAAAAATGCTACCATGGCCTTTTGAGCCACACTTCTCTTGCTCAGGCCCGCTTCCACATCTGGAAGTGTACCTTCCCTTCTAATAAAGCTTTTCTTTTCTACTGTAAAATAAATAAATAAATAGATAGATAGATAGATAGATAAATATAAAAATGCTACCATGATTCTGTTATTAAAAATGCTACCATGGCCTTTTGAGCCACACTTCTCTTGCTCAGGCCCGCTTCCACATCTGGAAGTGTACCTTCCCTTCTAATAAAGCTTTTCTTTTCTACTGTAAAATAAATAAATAAATAGATAGATAGATAGATAGATAAATATAAAAATGCTACCATGAACATCCTTGTACACATACAAAAAAAAGCACGATTTCATACTCTGTGTGCATTAACCTCCACAGAGAATATATAAAATTCTACATTGAGAAAAAGATATAAATGTCATACCATATAACAATTTTATCGTTTTTATTCAGTTCTGTATTTACTGATTGCATTAGATTGCTGGTAAGCCTATTAACTTACTCTAGAATCACAAAGGTGAAGTTTTTTTCTCTCTATTCTAATCTACAAAATAAAATTAAAATTAGAGCACATTCTTTTTACTCCTAATTCTTTAGAAAACTTCTCCTAAATCTATTAGAACATTATTACCTCTTTTGTTTTCTATTTTCTGTTCTGCTTCAACATGTAAAAACTCATTTGTGCTTCAAAACTAAAATTTGAGGTAAAAATATTTTGCATCAATGACTTTTCTAATTTCCAAAGTACTTTCATTACCTCATTTCCTCTTCATACTATCTGGTGGTTTTACTTTCTATTCTCTCAGTATTCAGTTTAAAAGACAGTCAGAATTTATTTTTACTAACTGAGAGAAAAAGAGTTATTTAATGCAGAATAGAGAAAAATTTTTTTTAACTGTTTAGCTTTGAAAGATGGTTTCAAGATTTTACTTGAAGAGGGGAGTGTCTGATATTCAGGGAACTTTCTTCGAGAAAAACATTAAAGTGATGAAGCCATACTATAAAATTCTAATTTAAGATGAGCTGGGAATATGTCCTATTTCTACATCTGGGAATTTGTTGAGCTCTTTCCTAAATTGCCAGAGCCTGAGACAAGGTCTCCTTTGGAATAGGAGAGATGACTAAGTATTCTGGTTCAAAGGCAGTATCTGCCTAAAATTAAACAGAGGGACCTCAGACACAAGCAAGATGGAATAGACTGAGCCCATGCTCACTGTAGTTGAGTGGATTCTGACTGCATATTTGAAAACAAGATAAGCCACAGATAACCAAATTTAAATAATCCAGAGTTGACTCTAGAGTTGCTCAGTTATTTATGAATTGCTTTGTATCAGTAAATCTGTCTCTCCAATTAAAATATAAATATATTAAAGGCACAGATTCACTTCTAACCCTTTAAGGTCAGTTAGGGTACACTGTACCTGTTATATGCATAAGTGTCTTAGATCACAAATAAGTCTTTCAAAGAAGAAAAAAAAATTTTAACCTCAATTTAAGACTATAAACAAACATTTTAAAAGCTTAAAAATCCTTCATTGGATTATTTAAAGAGAAGATTCTGTTGGCTAACCAAAACTCTGCCATATAATGAAATAAAACTAGTAAAAGCAGAGAACAAAATTAACAATGCTGATGACCCAATACCTTTCCATCAATGGGAACACCCAGTTCCTCTGTAAACAAGGGGTGAGTTATCCATTTGTAGGCTTCTTTTAGTTGAACTATATCATTTCTTCCCAGTGACAGACTCTGTTTTCTGAACAACATAAAAATTAATGCACTGACATGAAAAACTTTACTTTTTCTACTAAAGGCAAGAGTTTCTCACATTAAGTAAAAGGTGGAGAACAAAGTGGACACAATTCATCAGTTCACGGACCTTACATTCTAATAGAATCAAGAAACTGCTTTTTAAATGGCACATAAGACAGTTTTTAAAACTTCAAAGATAAAAGCATACCAATTAGGTTTTCTGAACTAGAATGCCGATTCCAGAATTAATACATCAGAAGACAGAAAGGTAGAATAGAGAGGATTGTTTATTGCTCAGAAACTACAAAACTGAATATTACAAATAATCTCATTCAGACTAAAAATGTTTGCATCTACTTTCTTCCTGATAATGGAGCTTACTTTTGAGAAACTGATGTAAAAGCTGTACTTTTCTTTACTGCTGAAGAAGAAATATTAAATCCTAAAGTATCAGTGTTCTGAAAGGCTCATCAACTTAATATGAGATAAATGTCATCAACTTAATATGAGATAAATGTCTGACATTCCCCCAAAATCTACTCATGAGCCAATAAATAGGTTTGGGGAAGTCCCACTTACGATTTCTAACTTTTAGTTTGAAAATTAAAGTTGTGATAAAAAGGAACTGCGGTAAGAGGAAAGAAAAACATAGTATATTATGAAAACTGCTCTAAACCACTAAAAATACTACAATATCTCTAATAAACTAACAAGCCCACATCATTCAAATAATTGAAATTTCAAATCAGTCTTATAGCTATTCACCAGGATACTTTTAACAACAACAACAAAAAAGATATTAAGGGCCAACTTGTGAATAATTTCTTTAAATGTTCAATTTTAAGTGATAGAAATGACTACTTGTAGTCAATATCTATTATTTTAATTCTTCAAGACTAAAAGACACTACTAACTGCAGGTAGAAAACAAAAAAAAAAATAACTTAGCTAATGGTAAATATACATATATTTAAGATCAATTAAATACACACACACACCATCATTCCTCTAAACTGCAAATTAAGAAAGAGTCAATCTAACCTATTCTGTATCCAGCTGAGAACATAATTGGTTACACTGAATACTTTCATATGCTTTGGGATTGTGGTTTAACAATGAAATCCCAGAAAAGCCCTACATTTGACAAATAAATAATTTCTCTACATTCAAGAATTTATTCAAACACTGTTTGAGCTTCTTTAACTGTTCCTAGTTCTCTAAATATCAGAAACATTTTAGGGATTTTAGAAGACTACCTCAATATTGCATCTTAAATGATATTTGTATAAAATAGCATCACGGTTGAAAAGTAAGTAATGAATGAATGAGAATACATTTTAAAGGATAGAAAGTTAAAATGGAAAACACAAGAACTGAAAACTATTTAAAAATTGTTTAGACTCTAGAGTACAAGGATTGCAGCAAAAGCCAATCCTAAAAATGGGTTAAAACATTACTCTTTGTGTATTTAAGAAAACTAGTATGTTAAATCCTTCATAATCTTTTAAGTATATTTAGAGCTTCTTGGTCCAGTTTAAAAAGTTCGACTACAGGTATTTTTTTCCTTCCAGACTAAAGAGCTAGAGGAAAGCGTTAACAAACATCTTGGAAACCATACTTAAAACGCCAGATTTTCAATCCTGCAAGTTGAATGTAGCTAGTAACTTTCCTAACATAATTTAGGGTAAATGTTTTCACAGAGGTCCTTAGTGATGGTCCTTTAAAATAATTAGTAGTCTTAAAGGTAAATTTAAAGTACTTAGTAAATTTAGTACTTAGTAACTCCATTTCCCTCTCTCCTGTCAGGTAAACTACTGATGAGAATGTCAAGTGCAATCACTTTTGCTATAGATACACTGTGACAACCATATAGGGCAAAGATGAACCAAAATATCCAACACAATTAATTTTTTCTTAATTCTTTGAATCAATTCTTTAGTGGCAATTCCTTCACAATCTTTTAAACATAGAATGAATTAGGGACACTGAAGAAAAAGATTAGGGTTCTATAGTTTTTCTGTTCCAGTTTCCCTATATTGAGTAAGATCTTTTGGAAAAGTTAAGCTTAGTTTAAAATCCTTCAATAAGAAATAAAAACAACTCACAAGAAATGTGGATGGAAATGAAATATCTAAAAAATAGCTTGCTCTGACTACACTCAAAAATTTCTCAAACATAGGATCAAATTTTATGTGCCAGAATCACAAGCATTTGAGATAACCTAGCTAAACTCCAAACCCCTTTGATAAATATGTGGTTATTACCCTTCTAAAAATGCAGTTGTGAATATAAAACAGAATTTAAAAAGCCAAACCAAATATCTTTTATAAGTCATTTAACCACGTATGAGATCCTAATACAGAAATCTATATTTCACTCTGTATTTTTCTCTCCAGAGTATACAGAAACCTCCAGCTCTTTTTATTTTGTTATAAAATTTTTAGTTTCAAAATCCAAAAATCTCTGGAAAATTAAATATTTTTTTCTTAACTCAATTGGCAACCAAACCCTGACTTGAACATGTGAGGCTGTTTAGAGACTTTATCAAACTTAGTGTGAATATTCATATGTTTCACTGTAGAAATATTGTGTTTCTTATATAGTACTACCCCAGATCTTGGAGGGAAAGGGTATGTTGTATATGGTATTTAACACTATATTACATTTCCAAAATTTAAAAATTCTAAATTCCAAAACACATTTGGCCCCAAAGTGTTTCAGATTAGAGACAGTGGACCTATGTTTTCTATGTCTTATCTATATATAAACTCACTGTTGTTCTGCCTTAACTACAATTTTACTTTGTATCTTTATAGCACAGTTTTATAATTTAGTTTCTAAGATCAGTATAAAATTTATTTTTAAAATAACTTGCCAAACTACATTATATAAGTGACTAATGAATATAAAATGTATTTACATTCATGTTAAATCTATAAAAAAATGAATCTGCTTTCATAGACTACTAATATGCCATGTAAATAACCAATTAAACAAGGTTGACACCTAAATTTATACAATAAAGATTTTCTTTGTGTCAATTTCTCTAGTAGCTAGTGAACTCACTCAATTGCAGTACAAGTTCTTTAAGAATCAGGTAGCTTACATTTAAATGGTAGTAAAAATTCCCTACCTAAATTACTTACCCCATTTCCTGTTTTACCAGCAACCATGCAGCATGCTGTAGGCAATTTAGTCACACCCAGAAAGAAAAGGGAAGAAATGTTTATTGAAATTAAGTTCCAATACCATTACTAAAGTGCTTAACTAATTTGCTAATCAAACTCCCCTTTTTGGGAGAGAAGTTAGTGTTCAGAATGTGGCAGTGACCTCAAGCTATTTCAAATCAGAAATGAGGTAAGATGCCACTTTGCAATACTGGCTTTCTGTGGCTTAGGAATTCAACAGGGGTATCCCCCACCTCCCTACAGATTTCTATTTCTCATTAATGAGGCACAAGTGTTTTTTAACATGGGTGGCTTACATTTTTTCTTAAAATATCTTACTATTTCATAGGGAAAGGCCCAAAGTGACTGAGTACCTACTATGTCCCTAAAACATAGGGCTTAGGGCTTTTTTGTTTGTTTTTGTTTGTTTTTGTTTTTTGAATAGGGCTGACACATTCTTAATTCTATCTAATAAATGATCTACACAATGTAAGTGTTTAGGAGTAAAATGTACTAATGTCTGTAATTCATTTTGGAATACAACAAAAACTAAGATGGGTGGATAGATAAGCTGATGGCTAGATATATAATAAAGTAAGTATAAAAAATAGTAACAATTGTAGAATCCAGGTAGATATATGGGTGTTCACTGTACCATTCTTTCGATTTTACCATATGTTTGAAAATTCTCATAATAAAATGTTAGGGAGTATGTTCTGGGAAAGATTAACAGAAACCTGAAAAATTTGCTAAAATGAAGAAATAACATTCGTAATCACAGTCGTTATGAGGATTAAATGAAATTCATGTAAAATGCTTTGCATAGTAAGTGTGTGACACTAAGATTATTCAGTTTGCCATTAGACTCTTGCAGCTTTCACATTAAAAAAAGGTAATGACATATCTTGCTTCAATATATGGCATTTTGTGACAATAACAGAAGCATACATGTATAAGTCAATAAAATATATGTAGTCTCTGCTTCTACGTGTCACGACATGGCAAGTTATCATTCAGATCCACCTCAAGACCTAGCTATAACTATCTACCTATCTACCTATCTACTTATCCACACACACACACACACACACACACACACACACACACACACACACACACATGGTTTAAATGTTGAACCCTGTCCTTTTAAACTTCAAATGACTAGCAGGGCACTATATACTCCATTTAGAAACATTAGATGCACTACATCCTTCAGACATGAGCCAAACAAAATCAATTAATCACTAGCTAGGTAAGAATTAGAACTGTTCTCAATGCCTAAATGTCTTATCAGTACCTTCTGATTGTTAGTTTGCTTAGTTTGTTAGCTCGACCTAATACCATTTTCAGTACTTACAGACCTCTTCCATCTTTCCTTCCATTTATTCAAGCCCTCTTTGAAAGTGTATGGGCATGGTATAGTATATAAATTACTAGCAGTCAGAAGACCTGGCTTTGGGCTTTACTAAATTTCTGGCACTCAATTTCTAATGTGTAAAATGAGAGAGTTAGACGACTGTAATTTAAACTTTTGGGGATGGCTAAAGGCATTAGTTAGTATACTGTTTTCTAATAGAGGGTATTAAGACTTACAGGACTTGGAGATCACTGAAAAAATGAGTAACAATCTCAAGATGAAACCTTGTAGTCAGCACTGCCCCACCTTCCTTCAGCCTCCCAACTTCAAGAAATCGATAAATATTTGTTTCACCACCTATAAGGGAATATTAATACTCCCCTTGCAGAAACACTATAAGGATTTAATGAAATTGTGTATAGAATGAACCAAATAAGAATCCTGGCATGTACTTAATAAATGCTAACTATTTCCATTTTTAAATTATAACCTTATCTGCAATTCATTAATAAGATCATTATCCCTTAAAAGATTTACAACACTTGATCCCTTTCCCTTAGATCCCAAACTGTTCGACTACAGGTAGTTCTGGAACCTCCCTCATTAATGTAATTCTCTTAGGTATCTGAGCTATGTAGAACTGTCTATCACTTCTTCAAGGGGACTCAGATTCTTCTGTCCTTTTTTACTAACATTTTTTCCTCCTCTTTTGAGGTATAAATTCTGTTCTCAACAGTCACTTCCAGGTGATGCCATCAAGTCTGCAAGATTTCCTGTCATCCTCTATTTATAAAGTAGGGCAGAACTGGAGGTTGCCAAGGGAAACCAGATTACCACGTGTAACATGTAAAATTAAATAAAATGTCTTTAGTACCTAAAATCTGCTAAAGGGTTCTTCCTTCCTAATCCTCTGCAGGCTCCCTGCTCAAGCAGGCCAGCAGATTGGACAGAACTAATCATACACAGCAGGGGCTGGAAGGCTGAATCCCAAAGAAGTCAGTGTTGCTCAATTATTCAAGTTTTACCATGTGCTAATAATGCCCTGGATCTGTGTGTGCTGAGGAAAAAAAGTACACCTCTCTCTTTCAGGTCACCAAGATAATTTTAAAAAATGTTCTTTCTATTCCTTAGTCAATGGGAAAAATTCATTCTCTGGAGTAAGCAGTTTAATTGCTCCTCCCCAACAGAACCAAATGGCATTAAAGTGATCAAGTTTAATAAAATTTGATATGAAAGGTAGTATGTCACCTCTTGAAAATTCAGGAACCACAAAATTTAATCCTGGACTCTGCTTTAACTTTATTAGAGAATCCTAAGCAAGTCCTAAATAGGGCAGTTGAATAACATGCTTACTAAAGTGCTTGTATACTCTGAAAATACACACACATACACACACACACACACACACACACACACGATGGAAAATCTGTGCCTAGGAATGGCTTTTGACCTTGGAGTTCTGAGGTGGGGGTTCATCCACAATGAAAGAATGGTGATGTAGGGCCAAGGATTGAGGCTGATTCAAATGGAGGTGGCAAGAAGGAAGGACAGAGAGAGAAAGAGAGGCATTAAAAATAGGATGTTGGGGAACTACGATTTATTAAAGTGAGAGCTTAGGGCATGTATGTGTGTGCATAAACGTGAGTAGGGGTTCACTAACTAGAAATGAAATTGGAAAGGTTAGCAGGCTTTGAGTACCAAGCTAGGGTATGAATCCAAAGACTGAAACCATAACATGAGAAATGCCTCATTGACTTATCTAGAAAGTCCCATGGCAGCACAAAACAGAAACAACATTGATCTGCTATAATTCATCAAGTCACAATATAACAACCATTGTTACACTATCATTTTTCTTATATGGTAATTTAAGAGGCAAATAAATATTTCTTAACCAAAATATTCATCATTCTTGGGAAAATATAGTGTGAAAAAAGCATATGTTCCAGAAAAATGGCAGAATGATTGTGAAAAAGTCCACTTTTGTCATATTTGTTGCTTATCTGGCCCTTATAGACACCTGGGTCTGTACTTCCTGATAGAGGAAAACAAACACTAAACTAAAAGGCAGGCTCTTCCTCTAAATATGGGATCACTTGCAAGGTGGCTTATCTCTCTGCACCTTGGTTTCTCAACTATAACATGAAGGGGCTCGATACTTCATTATTTTGAGGGTACCTCCTATATGGTGAGATCTTTACTGAGAATACAGAAATGAAGGACCAGTCTGTCCATAAGGGAACCCATGTGCTAGGAGAGAATAAGGAGAGTAAAATGATAATGAACATTAATAATAAAAATTAACAATATTGATAAAAATAATAAAAATACAGAATGGAGATAACTATGATAGGGATATATTTCAAGGGAACATGTAAGGCACCCTCAGCTCAGTCTCGTAGGAGAAGTGACACCTAATCTGAGCTCTGAAAGATCAGTTACTTAGAATTAACTGGTAGAATGGGGAAAGTGTGTTCCAAATTGAAAAAAAAACAAAACCCTATGGTGCAAAAACCAAGGACAGGAAGGTTCTGGGAACTATAAGTCAGTGGTTTCTAAAGAGCTGAGGACGTGTGGCTGGGAAGTGCAAAGGAAGAAGCAGGACTTAGATCATAGAACTACTATACTCATGCTAAACGGGTTACATTTTACACTTAAAACAATACAGTGCCACAGAAGTATTTTAAGCAATGGAGTGGTATAATCATATTTATCTTCAGGAATGCTCTCTGGTTGCAGTGTGAAATAGAGGAGGAAGATGGGAACTAAGGGAAATGAAGACATGTGGTAAACTAAAGCAGTAATTCAAGCAATAAATAGTATATTACTGCAGTGCTGATAGGAATGGAGAAGAGTAGGCAGCTTTAAGCAATAATGAAGACACAGACCAACAAAACTTGGTGATTAGCAATGATGTTGGGGTTTCTAAATTACCATTAATGCCCTTTAAAAGTCTTTTGAATCCAGCATATCTCTTGAACTCATTAATAATAACAAGATAATACAAATATAGATTTGTACCAACACAAAAATGACAAGTTGTTTGGGCAGCTAGAGGTATTACACCCCATTCCCTCTTCTCCCAACACACACACATACTACATATACACACTTATCCGTTTTTCTTGCACACAAATAGCCAATTGGGAACTAGGCTCCATAATGCAGTTAGTAACAATAGAAACTCTTCTTACCTCTTCTCACCAAGCAAGACTTCCTAAAATTTCCTTCTCCTCCTCTTCCCCACACCCTAGTCCACTATAACCTTGAACATTTGTCTCACCAGGGCCCACTCCTCACCTTGTCTCAGGTTTGGTGTCAAGCGTAGTGGCAGAAAGAGAAAGGTAGGAGAAAAAGGGACAATATACTCCCATAACCACTGTTGGACTCTGCCACTTAGCTGAAGTAAAAACTCCTCTCCTACATCTTACCACCAGTCTCCTCACATCCATATCTCCTCACCTCCACCACCTCCCTGCCTCAATCTCACTCTTCTTTTCCCCAGAACCTCTGATTTCAGACCCATGATGTAATGACTAACAGACTGTCTGGGTGTCTCTTTTGATGAATAAAACCTATGTCAGCTATGTATAAAAACCTCTACAAATTCTCTACATTATTTCCCTA